CCACCGTCAAGAGCACAAAATAGGGTGTGGGGACTGATGCCTTCCTTGTGTTAGACCTTTCCTCAACCGCTGTCCTTACGATCTGAATTCCCCTTATTCTCTGAAAACTTCTGTTCTGTATCTGTTATTCTCTTGTTACGACGGAAGATACTTTTGGCTGTATTTGCAATCCTTAGAATCCTTTAGCCAGTGATGATTTACGACTCTACGAAATGATCAAATTCGTTTCAGAATCTGCCTTTGACATAAAAGTGATCGCTGGAGATTTTAACTTCCCTGAAACAGACTGGCTTTCAAGTATTTGCCAATGTCGATTTCAGTCTTCAAAAGATATTTTAAATTATTCTAAATGGTCATAGCTTATGCGCTTTCCGACAAGAGACAGTCACGTTTTAGACTCCTTTCTTTCGTTCATTTTCAGACAAGACATTCAATGCCTAACTGGAAAACATATAGAACGTTTAAAAAAACTCGCACTGCTCGGGAAGGGACGGTATTCCACACTCGACTTCTAAACAGGCATCGGATCATCCCAGACGGCTTAGTTGTTTATTTTCAGTCTATATTTCGAGCAAATTTTTCCTGATGGCATGGATGACTACAATCATCCTCCCAGTTTTTAATTTTGGGTCTCGGTTCGATGTTAATAGTTGCCGGGGCGTGCATAAAAACCCGTCTCCAGCAAAACTTCTTGAAAAGGTAATTTTCAGTGAAATCCTTTATTTCTGTCTACCTAAGCCGTTTCTGAGATCTACTTAGCAAGTACTCTTACTTGAAAGATACTGTGAAACTTCTGATCATACCTTTCTTAATCAAATCATTTTTCTTTGCAATGAACAGCAGTAAGTGGTAGTTATCTAAGTCGGCTTATTAAGAGAATGAGGCTTTCGTCCTTCAGTTCCCTATACACATCTACTTTGATCGTAGTTAAATTTTCGATAAGGTGCCACATAGACGTTTTGGTGGTGCTCAGGAACTCTGTAATGCTTAGCCGACAAATTATCGCTTTCCTACTACTATTGATTTTAGCAGGCGTGGCACTACTCGTGGATAATTTCGATTTGATGGGCTTCGCGGAATGCTGCGATTATGATTCAGAAGTACCTTAGGGTTCGAGTTTCACGGTTAGGATTTAAGGTTCAGGATCTAGGGTGAGGAATAAGGTTTAGCGTTTGGGGTTGGGTTCTAGGGCTAGGGTTAGGGTTTGGGGCCAGTGTTTGGGTCATGGCGAAGGTTTGGGGTCTGAGTTAAGGGTTCAGAGCTAGTGAGTCAATTCGCACTTATTTGCTCCATTATCCACTTGCAGCTTACGTGTGATGGGTCACATTCTTAGGTGGTTCAATTTCAATGACTTCGACGGGCTAAACGCCCTTGTTTTTCGTGGAAATGATTTTACTGATAACCTGTGGTGAATTTTTGCATTGCGCGATGCCCACGTTCTGATTTGACAGCTATCAAGACGAAGTAGCATATCTGCTTATATTACCTACGTTTTTCTTTAATTTTCGCGCATTCTTCACTGTCTTCCAGCTGCCCCACATGTGAAGCCCCTTTTGCCACGCTTCCCATATTGGACGCGCCAGGCTTTCCCCAGTTCCCAGCAGAACCACGTTTCGAGCCTTGTCGAAGTTTTTTAGCAGCATTTGAAGCCCTCAGCATCCGACCTCCTTTTCTCAACTTTATCGCTATCAGCCACTATCAGGAATTCATGGTTGGTAATGGTTACTCGATATCTTACTCAGTCACTAGTGGTTAACTTCAAGTCACGGTTCTTGGCCCGCTGCTTCTCATTGTTTACATCAGTGGTATTTAAACCGGGACCAGAATTTCGGAAAAGTTCGTTTATGTCGATGATCTTAAGTGTGTTTATTCATGTCATAAGTACACAGCAAACGTTTACGTTAAAAATTAGTTTCAATCTATTATGCCTGTGGGAATGGGGTCCAACTTGCCAAATGGAGTTTTCTTCTTTCAAGTTTAGTTTCATGTGTTTCGACCCTGCCAAACTTTGCGGTCCTAAAATTTTTTAGAATAACCCACTATCAGAGTGCTCCACCAAAAATGATCTAGGCTCAAGCCATTCAAATAAGCCCGCTTTATCATCTCATGCAGATGGAATATCTGCAAGAACTGAGCAAATATGTGGGCTAATATCACATATTTTTGGAAATAAAACTAAGACTCTATCAAATGTTTTTTTCGTCCTCGAATATATTGCTGTCCTTCCTTTAGTTTAAAGAACGCCTTTAACCTTAGCAAAATCGAAAATGTTCGGTGTTTTTACTTGAAGACTCTTCCCCCTGGCGGGTCCGGCTGTGTGAGACGCTGTCGAACGCCTTTTTGAAGTCCGTGTAGATGACATCGACCCTGCCATCTGCGTCCAGTGCGGAGTTCAGTGCTCAGCAGAAAGTAATAAAGTGGAAAGGTATGCAGAATTCTGTCTGAAGCCGTGCTGGAGCCCTGAGAGTAAATGGTTCTGCCCCAGGACCCTTGATTGTTGCCTTCTTAACCATGGCTTCTACTATTTTACAGCAGATGCAGGTGAGACTAACAGGTCGGTAATTGTTAGCACTAGGGAGAGTTTCACCCTTACATTTCGACTAGATATTTATTGCCTTCCACTCGGAGGGCAGCCTCCGTAATTTGAATGACGAGTGGAAAATGTGTGCTAGGAGTTTGTGGAGTTCGTTTGCCAACTAGTTTAAAAATGTGGCCAGTATATTGTCTGGACCCGACGACTTTGCTCCTTTGGCATTCTACAGCTCTCTTCCCACGACAGATATAGGGAACAGTATGGAGTCAGGCACGGAACCGGCGGTCAAAACAGCATGGTTAGTTATAGTTAGCCCACGTACAAAAAGAAAAGTAAAAAAACCCCCATATGGTTTTTTCTTCTATCCATCTCGTTCTGTACAGTTTTTAGCCAGCATAAAGTGTTGTAAAATGCGATCCGAAATAGGCGAGTTTTCCTCTGTAATTTGTTTTCAGTCGAGGTTTCTCGTGCGTTTTCAGATATTTTTGTTTTTGCGATCTTCTGCTATATTCACCATATGGCGTCTTTTAAGTAGCTGCAAGTTTTTCAACACTGTAAGTATTTTCTCTGTACTGTTTTTGCTAAACCAACCCTATACTTCCATTTGCCAAACCTCTGCTGAACTGTGAAATGCCTAGCATGTCTTAAATTCCCTCGCACGTCCATTTATATGTGGACTTAAGTGTGAGACTTCGAATTCGGGGTCAACCAGTTTGATGTATACGAATCGCTTGACCATTCTACCCCGGATTTCCTTCGTAACACATACGAAATACCGAGTTCTTTTAGTCATTGCTTTGTTTCTTAGACCAGATTTCCTTTTTCCCAATAATAAAGTGATCTGCAACAAAGCGGTTTTTATCTTTGAGGGATATTCGCGGCAAGAATGATTAAGCAGACATCAATCTGCCAGATAAAATGCATGAGCAGTCGTTTATACATAGTTGATGATAAGGAAATCAGGACCAGAGTGGCACGCGTGCTCGGTCTTCGAGGGTTGTTGGTTGCTATCTCCCTAAAAGTTGACTCGTTTTCAGTAGTGGAGCAAGATATAGGAGGTGTAGAGCTGAAAGCCCATACAGAGGATGAGACAAAATCCTTTCTGACCGGTGCAATAACCCACAAAATATAAAAACACTCACATTGTTCGTTATGCCTAGTTTATTCTATTAGTCCAGAAAATCAACATAATTATGTTCACTCCGACCTCTACAACACCACCTTACTAAGGTAGACAGCCAGTACGGGAAAATTGTCCTTTAATTAGAGAATTTTGACAGGCGTATAGAAGCGTGTAGCTGATAAGGAAGACGCGCGAACACTCAGAAAGACCAAGGGGAATCATTTTCTTTAATTCTCTAAAATGCTGCCTGAAGGGTTGTGGATGCGTCCGCCGTTCCGGTTATTGTCATATTATTTGCATTTTCTCTGGCCACGCATGCATTTGAAGTAGATGTGTGTTTAACAGGTGTTTGGCATAATATGATGGTCGATTGTGTTCCTGATTTAATTCCGCCGCACGATCGCGGAGTAGGTTTTCTATCATCATGCGCCTAAAAAACGGTCATGTCACGTCTTGTCTACTGTCGAAATATTGGAATTTTGTTCTTATAATCACGGAAGGCTTACTGAGAAATCGGTAGCAAGGTTGTAAGCTAACGGCCAGTGTTGTTGCCTACCCGATCGTTACTGCGGGATTTAGCGCGTCGTTTGTTCAGGGTTCGAACTGTTGGGAAACGGTAGAACATTTCTCCTTTGTGACACCGGGAAGAGCAACCGAAAGTGGGCTTAAAGATGTAGAACTTGATTGTGTTGCCTCTCTTTACTGCCTCAAGTTCGTCCGCGAAAAATGGAATTGTTATCAACGGGGGATATTATGCTCAGTTTCGTGAACATTCTTTAACATACTATGGGCGTTTTTACTTCATATTTATTATTTGGAAATCTGAACGGCGACTGCCTGTGATATTTTGCTTATTACACTTCGAGGTCCATTTTAATGCCATTTGTGCCGTTTGTGAACCGTCGAAATGAAAGTGTGAACTGAACTATCCACGACGGTGACAATCTAAACCTCCGCCAGATTAAGAACTTGAACGAAGTACACCATACATACCGCTCGCTATGGACTATTTAATGGCGACACTACCGAGTAAGTGAAAAACGTGTTAGGGAACCCTTATGTAACAACCAGATTACTTGTCATGCTCCTTCACAACTTATTTGTCTGCCCAAGTTTGTTCATGTGCTGGTGCTTTCTCTTGCGCAAAACTACCGCCTCAAACAGATAGTCGTTGGATAGTTTGCACTCTTTTAGTTAGATCGGAATTCCATCAGTCCATTGCAGACTAGGTTCTGGTTTTCCCGTGAGCTGACAAAAAACCGTGACATACTTAAGCAAATCTTTGTTTAAACGAGAAAGGCGGCACAGTTTTTAAGCGTCGCATGAGTTTGGTGCTCTCTCAGCATGAAGGTGTGTTTTTTTCGACGGACAAGCAGCCTTTTATCTTTTTTTTCGCATCCAGGCTAGTTTCCCTATTTCAGAGTCCGAAACTCCTAATGGCTACCAGGATACTATATTTGTTTTGCATATAATAACAAAGTGTGTCTGCAATTACACTAACGTGTGGGACTTGGATACAGAAAGTTGTAATGAGCCTGTCAACACATGTTTCGGATTGTGGATGATTATTTCTGATGCTTCTTCGTCATGAAAGTCGTCCCGTATCCTTGTCTTATTAAATAGGTACCGGTTATGTAGATTTGCACGTGGTGGTCCGTCTACGGACCTAGGTTTCAACGCTCTTTTTTCCTGACCTGCTGGACGTGTCCAGTTCGTCCTATTCATGGTGTACCGAATATAACTTATAAGATTCATACACATAGGCCTCACTAGTTGCTCATCTGTCCCCTTTACTTTCCAAGGATCAGGAACTCGTCCATCTAAAGTATTCACGGGGGACATTGCTTGAAGGTTTGAGAACAGTGGAATGTTTGTTATGTCACCTTTCCTTAACAGTTTGTTAAACCTCTTAATGGACTTTTCCTACTTGTAGCTTAACGTTGCCTACCCGTCCAATGGCACTCAAAAATGTCTGGAGGTCGATGATGACCACAAACTTCGACCTTTCTACGACAAACGCATGGCTACCGAGCTGCCGGTTGATTTCCTCGGTGACGAATGGAAGGGTTACGTCGCCAAAATCACTGGTGGAAACGACAAACAAGGTTTCCCAATGAAGCAAGGTATCCTGACGAACGGACGTGTGCGTCTTCTGCTGAGCAAGGGCGCCTGCTACAACCCGCGCCGGAAGGGCACGCGAAAAAGGAAGAGCGTGCGCGGATGCATCGTTGATAGCAATCTTAGCGTTCTGAATCTGGTTGTTGTTCGCAAGGGTGAAGGCGATATCCCCGGGCTTACTGACGTCACTCTCCCAAGAAGATTGGGCCCCAAGCGAGCATCGAAGATTCGCAAGCTTTTCAACTTGAGCAAGGAAGATGACGTCCGTCAATATGTTGTCAGAAAGCCTCTACCTGAGAAGAATGGCAAGTTTTCTTCTCATACTTACTGCCTATTGTAGGTAAGAAAGCCCGTACAAAGGCCCCCAAGATTCAGCGTCTCACTACACCTATCCGTCTCCAAAGGAAGCGAAGGCATCGTGCTCTTAAGCAGCGGCGTATTGCCATTCGCAAGCAACTGGAAACTGACTATGCCAAGCTCATTTCCTTACGGCGGAAACAAGCCCGTGATGAAAGAAGACGTTCCCGCAGTCGTTCCTTGCGCGAATCTAAGAGTACTTCCCAGACTTAAATGTTGTTGATTTGAAAATAAAGGTCGCGGTATCAATCCTCACTTCTGACGTGAAATCATGTGTCCTGTCAAACTGACGACTTCTTGTTCTGTGGTTGGCCAACTTCCACTTATTCGGACAAGACAAAGGTGGCGAAATACGCAGTCTAGTGAAATCAGGGAGTCTCGTGACCTATTCAAGTATGCGGTCATTCAATACTAATAAGACGAACGTTGTTTAATTCTGCCTACTTTGTCGCCTTTGTCTGGTCCCAGGAGACGGTGTTTCAAAGACAGTTGTTCGCTTGGGGTATTACTACGCCGGCCTTCCATAATTAACTGGTTTAAACATAATTCACTATACTACATCGCATTTAGGAGCGCTTGGTGTCGTATGTGAAGCTTTGTAACATGGACCGGACTGACTAAAGGGCAGGCAGAACGTTGGGACAGAAATTGTGGTCAAATAAAGACTTCAGGTAACAGCCTTGGTTATTTGATTCTTGGGGGGTTGCAGCCGTATTCGGTTGACGTCGCTAACTGGGCCAGATCTCAGTCTATTTCCTCGTTGGTTGCGGTACTCGGGAAAATCGCGCAGGCGTCCCCTAGCCCTAACGGGCCCGCTGAGGCGGTGGTGCAGCTCTGGCTGACCGGCGGTTTTTCATGTTATGGCCCTGATGGACCGCGCAAAAATGGTTGCACTCGTAAGACGGTTAGTACTTAGCTTGAGCTGTTTCGTCCGCTAGTCCTCCAACTTCAACACTGATCCGGGGTGTCGAATTAAAACACTTGGACCTGAAGTCCCGGGGCATTGACGGACCCGTCTCTGCCCGTGCACTCGTACATCCGACTCCCACTTATCGATTCCTGACGCTTTGTGGACGCCGTGCGCCAGCTGGGGGCTGAGGCTTATTGAGTCATTCCCACAGCAGATTATCGCAACGATAGGGTGCTGGGACGATTATGAGGAGTCGGTGCTGGGGCGGCAAGTACGCCCTCCCCCACTGTTAGCTGGGCCGAGGTCGCTTGACATGTCCGCGGGTCGGAGATGGTGGGACGTCCTTCCGAGAAGGTTAGTGGAATAATAAGTGGTATCTGGACTCTAACGAGTAAATAGTTTGTGGGTCACCCATTGCAATGCCTTCAGGCATAGCCGGGCGTCAATCTGGCCAGTCGCTTATGAGATAAGTCCCACGCAAAGGCGGTATTGAGATCGCGAATACTGTTCGCCACTCAGTAAGGCTTTCTCCGTCACCGTAGCTCCACCTGTGGGCCGGGCGGGACCGTAGGCCCCGCATCCACCATAGCCTTACAGATTTCCCTTACCATCCAGGAATTGTGCCGGAGGCCATGGAGTCGGCCAGATCAAGGTACGTGTTGACTGAAGCGACCAGAAATGGCGCAAGTTCTCCAACGCGGATCCACTAGCCTTCTTCGGGGTCCGGCCTTTGTTCATAGGCTCTGTCCGCCATCCCGGCCTTTCAATCTTCTAACTTTATACGGAGTTCCCGATAACCCAGCATCCATTTTTCGTTTTCTGCAGACTCTGCCAATGACAGAGTAACACTGTCGTTGAAATTCGTGATTTTTCAGTTACCCTGGAAATAACGCGTCTCATCTTAGAGGCAGGCTTAATGTGCGCTCTTACGTATGTCGAAGAAAAGGGCATTTCAATATGCACTTGGGTTGACTGTGCGCGTCACGTTGTTTGTTTTGGTTAGCATTCTAGGAAATGACATTTGCAAATTTATAGGTCATCTGGATGTCCCTTCGGCCTGCATCTACAATATGTCGCGTCTTCTCATCGGCTCTCAAACAGAAACGTCTTCAGAGAGGATATGCCCAAGCCCACATACCTGTTATGGCCCGAGAGGTGATCGAGCATTTGAATCCTAGACCTGGCCAGGTAATCGTGCCCTCTTAGACCCAAACTTTTAATAGGCACACATAGAAGTGAAGACTGAATACTGAATTGCAGACTAGATACTCGTTTATCCAATGGTAGAGGGATGCTTATCGGTCGTGTTACAGGATAGAGTTGTCCGGTTGTGCCTTAGGGCTCAGTCTGGAGCCCAGCCAGCAGCCGCTCAGCGGCCGGTATTGTAGGCAGAAGAGTATTACCGGCAGAGACTAGGGAAACTAGAATGGCCACTTCTGGCTTAGCCGTCATCAGCTAATGACGACTCGTTTGTCCGTTTGATGCTTTGTTTTGGACGTGGACTTCGGCCAACAGTACGACCTCATGCCCAGACTACAAAAGTGGAAGACACGACAGTTGTGCAGTATTCTTCGGTATCTCCCAGGTCAGCTAGAGCGTCACAAATCGCATCGTTTAATGGTCCTAGAACCGAAGTGTTTTGCCGGCAAATGGATTGTTTATGTAGAGCTATTGCTTATGGAAGACGGCATAAGGCGTATTCAATTTCAATTTCGAGGGAAAATTGTTTAGATACATGTGTTACCTAATTGGTTGGCTAAGTTATGACCATAGTTTCGCAGTCTATTTGTACTCCTGTGAGCCGACCTTTGTTTCGGTGTTTTACAGAAGGAAATTTTCACTCGTTTAAAATGAACATCTGCAACACTAAGTTATTCATACTGTGCCCTCTTCAGTCTCGTGATTCATAATATGCCTCAGTGTTCGCCAGGTCTTTCTTGACATGACGTTCGGAGCTGGTGGCCATTCCAGGGTTCTTCTTGAAGTTTGTCCAGATATTATGGTGTTCTGCCTTGATCGGGATCCACTGGCAATGACCTATGCCGCAGAACTGTCCGCCTCCTTCAAAGGGTAATTTCTGATGTACGAAACTTCTGCTCCCCGTAGCTCTCTACCCCTCTCAACATTTATTGTAACCCAACTAGTCCTGCTGCGAGAGGACATAACGGAGGACGAAGAAATGTGGGGGTCAGATGCATCTTGTGTTTCTGAAGTCTTTCGCGTGTTCCTAAGAGTGCTATTAAGTGCTCCCGAGCGGCAGGCCACATAACTTAGCAGAAAGCCTGCGTTTGGACTTTTGACACCAATAACTTTCAGTATTTCTTGCGTTTTTAACCCAACCTTTCTCATTTGGAGGGCACTTTGGTAACTATAGGTTTGTGAACACATTTGTTTTATAGTTTAAGACAAGTAACTTTCTACAAGACAGGTGAAACTGCCACCCAGGTCCGACTCAGTTTTGCTTCGTTCATATCTACCAATCAGCAATACTAAGCGTACATTAGAAAAATCAAGAGTGGAGAAGATGTCATGATGACCTAAGGTAATGCCGAGGTTATTAGGTACATTGAGCTTGACGCACTTTTCGTGGGTGGCGCTGGGCATGTCAGTACTAACGATCTTCAGAGGTGAGGTTAGAGACAGTAATCATAATAGTTTAGTCGATTGTGGTTGTGTATGTTGTTTCTAAGTCAACCGGCATATTTCCATACTGACTTCGTATTGATGACAACTCTCTGCCAATAGAAGGTCCCTAAGGTCGCTCAACGTATCTGCCTCCACCTTCCATATCCCTACCCTGCAACAAAAGCTAATTTCTCGAAAATCTATCTAACAGTTTCTTCTGTCCTTTTCAGCAAGGTGTTTCCCGTTCTTGGCAAATTCAGTGACGCGGAATCCCTTCTTTCTCTGAAGGGATGTCCAAGGGGTGACGTAGATGGTGTCATCATGGACCTTGGTGCCAGCTCCATGCAGTTTGACCTTCCGGATCGCGGGTTTGGACTAGGCAGGGACTCTCCCCTTGATATGCGGATGTCAGCTAGCTCAAAGTGAGTATTAGTACAGAGCTATAAGTCCTTTATTTCTTGAGAG